GAAAATCACGGTTCACGGCGACTATGGAAATCACGATTCACGAGGAAAAAAATAGCCATTTCACATTTCATGGGGAAAAAAAAAGGGCCGATCACGAGTCACGAAAATACCCTTTACCACCCTCATAGAGAGGCCCTGTGTCCTCCGTTCCCTCGGGTCGCTTCGGCAACCAAAGCTTGAAGAGCCGCACTGGATCCGTTTTTTTCGGTGTCGGTGCTATACATAACTTCTGGTGTAGTTCTTCGCCTGATCGTGAGAGACTGCCGCTTCGTATTTTGGTTAGACCTTCGCGGGACTCAACTTCTTCAGCGTCATCTTCTCTTCTTCTACTTCAGTGCCATCATCAATAGGTCCACCACGAACGAGTCATAGTGTTCCTGGCGACATCGTAAGCCAAGTTGCTCAGTCACGTTTTTAAAGTTCACGTTGGTNACACGTCGTAGTGTTCCTGGCGACCTCGTAAGCCAGGTTGTTCAGTCAAGTTTTAAAAGTTCACGTTGGTCAGTACTTTTCCATTGAAATCGCCCAACTGACCTTTTTCCCACAGGGCAGTCTCCTCTTCTGGTGTTAGTGGCTTGGCTTCGTTTGGTCTCTTACCCTTTTCTTGCTGGCGCAGAGAAATTGCCCTGGTGTTGAGGATTTCTTGCGACCTATGGAACTCTCTCGATCGCACGATACACAGTAGATAGTATTGTCCTTTAAATACATTCAATGGTACTCTAATCATTTCTGTTTTTGTTTGTTTGTTTGTTTGTTTGTTTGTTTTACTTTGGTGTAGAACTTTGTCAGGACCGCCTCTAGTTCCCCGGGCGACATTGTTTCGGTGCTGACATTTTCAAGATAGCAAGACTTTGCCCAGCTTTTGAACACGCTCATCCACTGGTTTGTAGAGTGGAGAGTGTTTTTATTCGATCACTGCAACAGACGAGCTTCTGTATTTCATCGCTTTAAACTACAGAAAATCTGGAGAAGTCTACTTCACCGGCTGCCTCTGGATTTGTTGTTGTGCTTTCTTCGTTTGTTTCTGTTTTTCTGGACTCGGGATCACACGGAGATTCTTGAGCGATGGTAAAGAAAGAGCGAGAAAATAATCGTCAAAATTTGTACTGGAAGTTGTAAACGACTTCCGGAAAAATTGATTTTCAGCGTGAGGGATCTGGTCATCATAATTTAGAAACTGTAAGTAATTAAATTAATCCATTTTTTCCAACCTGGCAGAGTTTTCGCAACAAAAGTTGCCAACTTTCCCAAACAATGGCTTTATTGCCTTTCATTTTCCTGCAGTGTTATTGATTAATTAAAAAAAACCTGGAAATTAAATTGGTTGTTTTGTTTTAACATTTCATTCTCATTGGCTGAGAAAAAGATGCGATTTAGAGCAAAAAATAGTACGATTTGAGAATGAATCGCACCGCTGAGAGCCTACCAGATAACCAGTGATGTCAAAATGGATTTAATTAAAACTCTACCAAACTTTTTCTGTCAATCAAAAATCGAGTGAGGCTGCACAAGTGGAAGTCCTGCGTGGAATTTGGTTTTTAATTGGCTTCTAAAATTCTGGATTGAAATGATGATTTTCCTTCTCTTGCCACCTATATGCAAATTGATTTCATAAACAAAACAGTATGATCAAGCAAACAGGATATGGGTTCAAGCCGTGCGTTTATAATTAAGCTGTCATTGGTGACTGAAATTGC